CAAGCCCCCCTCTTGGTAAGTCACAATTCCCATAATTATTGTGGGACCTACTTGCATTATTATTACTAATAATTTATTCTCTTTCTTTCTCTCTCCAAATTTGTTACCTTAAATAAAAAATTATCAAATTAACTAATAAAATATAAGAAATAAATTCCTAGAAAATCAAAGTTCCTACATTATCAACCAAACAAATTTAAGGTAATTCTTAGGAAATGGACAAGCGAAATTACTTCCCTTGAAGTATAATTTCCTATGGGAACTCATTTCCCATGTCAACCAAACAACACCTTACTCTCTCCATCATAATAAATACTACATCCGTTTTTTATTATGTGTAACAAAGAAATATTTAATACGTAGTATTTCACATATACGGGATAATACCTCTTTGTTGCACATAATAAGAAACAGAGGTAGTAAATCCATATACCTTTCGTATTTTTTAAAGTACTACGCTTTAACCGAAATATAGTTTTAGGCAATTTAATAGATTTAAATAAAATCAGAGGTAAATGGCGTATTTGGAATATTAAAAAATTGTAAAACAAATATACTGAAGTTAATAGTTTATTGTAAAGTAATGAAAGTGAGAGAAAAGAAATACAAGTAATAAAAAAATATAAAAGTAGTATTGGGTTTGGGTGGGGAGTACGAGAGAAGAGAGGTATAATATTAAAATGTATGTAGCTTTTGCCAAAAAAAGAAATTGTAAGACTTAAAAAAACACAACCATATTTCGTAATTTTAACGCATAAAAAACATGGAGGGAATAAAAGTCTCATATATAATGATAAAGTCTTAGCCTAATAGCAAAAATTAAGGGCTCGTGTAAAATAAGCTACAAGTTCAAATCTCCCTCCCCTCACCCCTTCTCTTCGTACGTACTTCCTCTATTTCTTTTGATAATAGCACCATTTGTGATTTCACGATTACTAATGCATGATATTGAGACAAATCTAATTAAATCTCACATGACTATATTTTTACTTATGGATAAATCATAAAGTATGGTCAAATGTTATTATGTGAATAATGTAAAAATCTAAATGGTGCAGCTAAAAAAAAAAAATAAAAAATAAAAAAAAGGTAAGTGATCTGTATGCACTTGTGGTTTATTCACACAAATAAAAAAAAAAAAGTCTTATTTCTCTTTTCACAAGTTTTTTAAAAGGCAAATAAAATAAGAAGATGGTGGAGTTCCATTGATTAAAATTGTATAAAAGGAATTGAAAGATGATAATTAAAGTTTGGTTGATAAAAGTAAATAAGTGCATGAATAGATGTGGAGCAAGACTTTCATTGATTGTTTGATATAATAAAAAAAATTTATTTGGGAACAAAGGGATTATAGAGTACTCCCTTTGTATTTTTTTATTTTTTTATTTTTTGTTCCATTTGATTTTTTTACAGTCTTTAATACATGTCTTAAAACGCATATAACTTCAATTCTATATGTGTAAATTATAAAAACTTGATATTATTAAAATATACAATGAGATGAATCCAACAAGACCCCGCTTAACTATATTATCTCTTATAGTTTAATGAGAATTTATGGTCAAAGATTTTAAAGTTTAACCCAATTAATTGGAATGGAGAAGAAAAAAAATAGAAAAAGAGGGAGTACTTTGTATAGATTCCTTATAGTGGTTGATACACGATTTTTTTTTTCCTCTAAGGGTTCGTTAGGTATCATTGTGGTTTTTTTTTTTTTTATATATATATATTTTTCAAGATCATAAGCTATATGTCATATAATAAATAAAAATTTAGTCAAACTCATTAAAATCATGATAATTTTGAAGACAACAGAAAAGTGAAAACATCTTTTTCTTGTTTCCTATTTTTGGTTTTTTGTTTTAAAAAAAAAAAAAGAAAACTGAAAACAAAACAAGCACGAATTGCTTGAATTAAATTCATTTCAAAATTATTGCACAATTGCACCTTTTTTTTTCTTTTTCTTGTTTTTTTAGTCTTTTTTAGGAAATATCATAATAACTGCATCATTTTCTTATTTGTAGGCGTAATTATAACTAAAGACTACAATAATGTCCCTAAAAAATCAGCCATGACCCCACTCTTTATCTCTCTCCTCACTCTTGCAAAGACAATGTTGCCTTACTCCCTCCGTATTTTTTAAGCGTTACACTTTTCAAATGCGGCCGTGTTTTTTTTAAGTGCTGCAGTTTTTTTTTTTTTTGGCAAAAAACTACATTTTAATACTTCATTCGTTCTCTTTTGTATGCAGCACTTTGACTTTTACACATTTCATATACTCTACTTTAACTAGATTTGTTGATTTATAGTTAAGAAATAAATATAGTCATGTGAGATCTTGTTATATTTGTCTCACTTTATAGTTTATTAGTATTAAATTTTTTCCATATTAGTAAATAAAGACATTGGTGATTTGGTAAGCCTGAAATGAAAAGTGTTGCATTTAAAAGAAAACAGATGAAGTATTATATATCTCTCCTCTTATAGTCTCCTCCCAAATCCACTACTATTTTTTTTTTCTTTTTTTATATCTTTCCTCTCGCATTCATTACTTTCCACTAAACTATTAACTTCACTATCTTTCGTTTATAATTTTTTAATATTCCAACTACCCCACTTACCTCTTTTTTATTTAAGTCAATTAAATTGCCTAAAATTAAGCGCCAGTCAAACTGTAACACTTAAAAACACGCGGAGAGAGTATTAATTTTATTTCTCAAAGAATGTGCAATCTAGGATTTGTGCAATTATATTAGTGTGTGTTTAATTCACCTGAATTTTACTTATTTAATCTTAGTTCACCTTTAAAAAAAACACAGTTTTAAAAGCTAATCAGGTATAATTAGGATTAACCAGGCTCAATTGATGTACATATAAAAACTCAAAAATCAGTGTTAATCAAATTTAATCAATAAAGTTTAGATAAGTTCAAATAAAAAGAACATATAGTTATTTTATCTTATCTGAACTTATCAAGACTTATTAGAACTTAGTTTAGTTTCCTTAAAATATTAAAAATGTACTTTAGTTGCATTAAACTTAGGTACGTAGCCTTATTAACCCTTATAAGCGAACTTATTTATCCTAATCTTATCTTATCCTAATTTGTCTAATAAGTTTAGGAAAAATAAATTCCCTAAAATTATTGAAAATTACTTCCTCCATTCCAACCTGTTATAACTAGGGACTTGCTTATAATATTTGAATGTTTTTAGATACTAGCTTGATCATTGAATCTAAGATATGAAAATGAGCTTGGGAAAACTAATTAGCTTGAGAAAAAATTGCCAAATGAAGAGGAATGCTAGATTAATAAAAAAAAATTCCTATTGGTTTATTTAAATAGCTAATTGTTGGAGCACAATGTTACATGCTAACAGTTTTTACGATGCCCTAGTACAACAAGTCCCACATGAGGCAACCTCCATATGCAAATGTGCCTTACTAATGCATGTGTTTCTGGTGTAGGTTAATATCATTGCGTGTTGTTTCCTCTATTTATTAGCTTGTTGCGCACATGGGGAAGGTTGACCTACATCGAGTCTCAGAAATTCAGGCACCGCACGGACGATTTGTGCCCGTGACATGTGGTATCAAAGTCGTCTCAACATCGTTCAAGTGGGGAGGTTCTGTTCACCATCAAACAAGGTCCACCATTTCAACTATGGTGCAAGGGAGCCGCCACAACCCGTCTAGCACGGTATAAAGGGTTGACATAGTAGAAGTGCTTAGTGGGGTACTTAGAGCGGTGTGGATGGTGCGTAACCATGGGAGTGGAAGAGCAAGCTCTATGTGGGAGCGTCTCCCGACAGTAATAAGGGGTACGTTCGTGACTACATGACCAGAACCAATACAATTAGGGGGACATGTTGAGCAATCAGAGAAGGGACGATGTGTAGAAACACGAAGAAGTGGCAACAAGTAGGGTTTCGAAGAGGAGTTGCGATATGGCCTAGTGCTAAGGAGGGGGAGCCATTGTGCTAGCATATGTCTTCATTGTCGGGCAAGCGTGTTGGATGCATGTCACTTGTGTAGTACGAGAGCGGCTAGGTGATGTGTTGTGCGTTGGGAAGCAACTTGGAGCTAACCTCGGAGAGCCACAACAAGGGCGTTTGTGAGTTAGGTGGGGGAGCTTGTCATGTGCTGATAGTTTCCTCGATGTCCCGGTAGCTATAAGCCGGTACAACAAGTCCCATATAAGTCAACCTCTTTATGCCCATGTGTCTTAATGATGCATGTGTTTGTGGTGTAAGTTAGTGTCATTATGTCCTCTATTATTTAGCTTGTTGTGCATATGGGTAATGCTGGCCTAAATCGAGCCTCAGGGTTTCAGGCGACGCACGGGCAATATGTGCTCGTCCCATGACAGTACAACAAGATAGGCTAGCTATAAAGAGAGAATCAACTTGAAATTATATGGCATGACAAGTTATGACAATTAACTTACCATTGATGATGTTCTGACCAGTAATTAATTAACAATCTACACGGTTTTTTTTTTTTTTTTTTTTTTTTTTTTTTTTTTTTTTTTTAAAAATTTCAAATTTATACTACGAGTAGTATTTAGTTTTAAAAATGAATTTAATGGTTATAAATTGCATATAGCATCACCCTAATTCTTATGTGTTTTTAATAAGTTTGACCGAGTGGAATTCAATGAAAATAATATAGTTGTCATAATTATTATTCAAAATTGAATACTTTATGACTAATGAAAATAAAAAGGATATATTTCATTTTTCTAAAAATTATGAGTTCCAAGTTCCTACTAGATACCAACATGCCACATTGGCCAAAATTCATGTCCTTTTTTTTCCCCTCTTTTTGACTTAAATATGTCTAGTTTTCATATCAAATGGATGAACCCAAAAAAAGTTATCCTTGAACAAAGTATAATTGTGAAAAATAATCCTTAAAAGGAGAAAAAATAAGCTTTTATTTTATAATTTCAATATTTCATGAGAGAATATAAACATAATATGTACAATATCTTGTAATTTACTCCATAGTTTATTTGTAGAGACAGGTTTTGGTTGTGAGCTCAGAGTGTGTATTAATCTTTGCTCTTGGAATCAGTGTTGAATAGGAATCTTAGCATTTTCTTATTTGTTAAGTGGATCCATCATAACTCTCATTACCATGAATTAGGGGAAAGCATTTCTCTCTTAATAATGTATTATTCTTAATTATTTAGCTTTTCCTTTTTAAATATTATTTCTGATAACAATTAATATAACTAACCCTGCAACTCTACAGAAATCTGCATGGCAAAAGTGTACTGTCACATAGATTGTTAAAGAAGTGAAAAAATTTTATATAAAAAAATCAAATCATAAAAATAAAAAAAATTTGGTGAAAAAAAAATAAAAATAGGCAGAGCATCACTTGTCTTTTAGCTCCCAAGTGTGTCCATGTGCGGTGCTGTTCCCGTATAGTTAAACACAATCGTAGCTAATCTGTTTCGGCCTTACTAGACCAGTAAGTTTTTTTTAATACGAACATAACGACTGTATTGTATACAATATATTTAGTCACTGTAATATAGGGTGACTTTTAAGTGATATGAAGAGACTTAAATATGTTACGAGTAAAATACATCCGTTGTATACAAGATCCGATACCTTAGAAAAAATAACTCTCAATAGTCTCAAAGCATGATTTTCAAAACAGAGCTAAACCAAAAAACATCCAAAAACCATCAACTTTTAGTCTCTCCTTTATAAACTTGGAAAAACTACATTCACCCACCAGTAATCAACCCTTTTCTCCCTCCTCTCTCTCCTCATTTCTTACTCTCTCTTTCTCTCTCTTCCAAAAAAACAAGATCCTTTCATTATCTCATTATAGCACAAAAATCCCAGAAAAAAGAAAAAAATGATGTCACCTGAAAGAAGCAGATCAATGGGAGAAACGACGACGACAGCGACAATGACGAGTCCGAGGATCTCATTTTCAGCAGAGTTTATGGATGATGATAGTTTCATCTCCATAAGCCCGGGTTCGTCACTAGACAAAGATGATCAAATAGAAATCGAAAGGGAGATAGTTAAGAATGCAGCAGCAGAGTTTGAGTTTTTATCAGGTAAAAACAGTTTAGATGCAGGTCATTCAACAATGTTGACAGCAGATGAACTTTTCTTTGAAGGCAAACTTCTGCCTTACTGGCAAATCAACCATGCAGCTGAGAAACTTACTAAAATCAACCTCAAATCGTCTTCGCCCGAAGACGATGCTCCCAACAACAGCACCGGGAAAATGAAGCTTAAAAACAATAACATTACTACAACTTCCAGAGATCAGCAGGCAACTGCGAGTGCGATAATGCTGGGCAGAGACCAGCAGGAGCCGAGGATATGGTTTGTAGACGATGACCCGTCACCAAGGCCACCAAAATGTACTGTATTGTGGAAAGAGTTGCTTAGGTTGAAGAAATCAAGGTCTTCTACTTTGTCCCCTTCGTCGTCTTCCTCTTCGTCGTCGTCGTCTTCGAGTTCATTAGGAGATGCTGCTGCAATGGAGGAGAAAGAGAAGGAAAAGGAAAGTGGGTTAAGTACTAGAGAGAAGCATATTAAGAGGATTAAAAAGGGATTAGAGAGAACTAGATCAGCAAGTATGAGAATTAGGCCAATGGTTAATGTACCTATTTGCACTCAGAGTGGTAAGAGCAGCTCATTGCCTCCTTTGTTTCCTCTCAAGAAAAACAAGATTGATAGGTAAAAATTGGATTTTTTTTTTTTTTTTTTTAATTTTTGATTTTTTTTTTTGGGTTTTTGGGGTTTAGTTCTCAATCAGCTTGTGAATCTGTAGGATTCTTGATTGATTATGTTCATGAACTTGTCTTATTACTTTTTTTTTTTTTTCCTCATTTTTTTTCCTGACCCTCCTTTATCTCTATTTCCACCCCCTTTTTCTCCCTTTTTTTGGAGGTATATTATTTTTTTTTTCCACTTTTTTATTGATGTTATTCAGAAAATTTGGTTTTAGTGGATCTGATATCAGAAGTGAGTGAATCACTACCATGTACATGCCTGACATTGTCTATGTGTTGGATGCTATTCACCATTAATGTGTATTAATTACTAATGTCATCCATTTACTGCAACTGCATTTGATGAGCTTGACCAGAAGTCTAGGGTCTAAAAGAATATTGGAAATCTCAGGATTTTTTTGAATTTCTATTCAGTCTCTTCACAATATTTGGAGGGAAGTCAAAAGGTTACAGGAGACTGAATCTAACCCATTGTTATTTGCTTTGGAAATGTTTAGTTGACCCTAAGAGTTACTAATGCAGGTTCAAAAACTCGGGTTATCCGGGTTTTGATTTGATAAAATCATTGTTAGAAACAGAACAAGAGTCTATAATAGAAAGATTAGTCATTGCAGAAGTTCATATACACTTTTCTTTCTGAGAGCAGTCACTCTTTCAGAACAGTTTCACAGGCTATATAATGAGATTAAGCCTTTAAACGTAAATTTGTCCAAAATCTCAGTTCTCAGAATTTTACTGTATTACAAAATTAAATAGATAGAACTATGCTGAGAATGTCAATGATTGACCTTGGAAGAAATGGAACAAAGCTAGAAACATTGTTGATTGCAAGGTCTTTAGTGAATTGTCCTCTCTTAAATATGCAACTATAGATGTTATATTTATGGGAAAGAAGGTGTAGTGTGAACTGTAAAGTGTAGTATTCCTTATGCAGACAAGGCACAAGTAGATTGCACCAAAAGTAACTGAGTACATACCCTTGTTTTATCTATTCCCATAATCCAATAATCTCCTAAATGCTTTTGTCGATCCATCTAGGGCAAACAAAATAATGTACTTTAGTTTTTTGATAGCTGTTTGGCCGGACACGAAAATGGTCCCGATGAGTTGAATTTCTAAATTTATTTGGTTGAACGTAGGAAGTAAACCTCTTGTTACAAGTTTTTCTTGAATAGAGGGACTATGTAATCGACTCCTCCACTGAAGAAGTCGACCTTCTAAGGAAGTTGTATGTTTTTTGTCAACTAAATATTAGAAATTTAGAATTGTCCACCTCTTAGGAACTTCAATTTCTTATGTAAATGTATGTCTACTAAACAATCACTAAAGCACTAAGAAGTATAGCAACCCATCTACACAAGGAACAACAGTTTTGTAAGTCATGCTACTCAGGAAGAAGCTTTTGACAAGGACTGACTACGATAGGCCGATAGCTTCATTTCTTCTAGTCTAATTCCACATCACACAACATAGAACAACACTGATAGTACAGTACTACAGCAATTAGGAATGAGGGGTTAGTAATCTTGGCAGCTCAAACCAAAGAAACTAGCTAGCTAAACAAAAATGATCTAATTTGTTCAATTGTATTCCATGTAACAAACAGAAGAAAATATGAATACTTACAGAGTTACAAGTACACAAACGGGTGTTACATTTACAGTAATTACTCTTCATCTGAAAATAGTGAAATTACAAACAGGGTAAAAAAAAAAAAAAACAAAAAAACCCGAGTAGTATACGAACAATAACAAGTATTTCCTTTCTCTCTATTAGGGGAAGGGGACCATATACAGCTAAACAAAGTCAGAAGCGCCTCTCAGAAAATTTTTTGTACAACAAAATGACAGCCTGACTTTCAGGCTGCATAGAGGAGCTTGTTTAATTATACCAAGTACTTCAAATACAGAAGCTTTTACTCATATTCAGACAACTAGTTCTGAAACGAAGAGCAGAAAATACCAAGAAGTTTCCAGCTGTATTTGAAGTTGCCAAAAAATGAATCAAATACCGTTTTCACATCCTAGTGACAGCCAAGTAACCTTCAGTCATTGAGGACTAGGAAGGATCATGTATTCTGTCCGGCTGATTGTGAGAAACTGTTACCGGGAGTGAACCTGAAAAGCAGATTATATAAGATTATTACATGGAAAGATGAATGCACCTCAAGTGATTCAGATACGAAGATTTCAGACTTACGAAAACTGCAGCCCGGGTTTTTGAAGAAGGCTTTTAGGAACAGTCCCATTTAGATTATTGTTCTCTACATGGCTGCAAAGTAGAAGCATTACGTCATAATCACAAGGGAGGGAAATTATTGAAAGAGCCTTCAGAAATTAAAAAATAAACTAATCACAACTAATACAAGTGCCATAATACTTAAATAAAATTTGAGCTTCTCCTCTGATTAGATCAATATGTCCTTTTGAAATTTCAAACTAGTAACACCTATATTTTTCTGTTGGCACTTCTAGCACCCTAGTAACAACTAAGACTTTTGACCAACCTAAAATCTCCCATGTGGAAATATGATTTTGACAAGGTTGATTAAGAAGAACGTCTAACACAGTGTAAATTAGTTATAATAAATGATAAAAGTGGGAATAACGATCACAACTACAGGAACACATCAAAATATTTGCCACAAACTTGGTCAACTTTTAAACAGAAGGTAACAGAGAAGTTAAAGTAGTTTTTCAATACCATGCTCAATTAGCAAATTACACAGAAGATAACAGAGAAGTTAAAGAAATTTGCTTCCTTATACCTAACCAAAGTAGGATTAATTGGTAAGCAATGAGGTTTATAGAAATAATCTATGCTAGCAAGTATCAACTAGCACTGTTATATACAACAGAGGTCAGCTACTATCAGCAGGATTGAAAGAGTGGGACTGGATAGCATCGGGTTAAAATGCAATGACTCCGGCCTTTAATTAGTCAATTAGGCTCAATCCAACCACTGATGAGAAAGGGGCGCAGTCAGATATCTCAATGAATGGTTGAGAAATACTGGATCTAAGCATCTGTCAGACCAGTAGTTTCTCATGCAGAACAATTTCCATGCGGCAAAAGTCGAAGGGAATTCCAAGATAGGAAGAGAAATCATTATAGAGATGGCAAAATTTTATTCGTGTCACAAATATCTGAAAACAAGTGGTTTTAGGTCCAAAGAAATACTGAAATAGGCTGGGATATACTACTGAAAAACAGGCATGTCTTAAACAGTTAATAATGGCCCAACCTAAAGAATCAATTGTAAAGGCACCCTAAATAATCACCCAACATTATGTTAAGAAAAATGACCAAGATGCCATTTGCACAAACCAAATTTAGTAAATGCCTTGACATAATTGTCACACAGAAGTAACTTGAGGATTTCATAAATCAACATATAGAGAAGCTTAGTTCAGTATATACTTTGACTGTACTAGGTAAGCCACGTGGTACCCACTCCACAATAGCACAGGAGGCCTTCATCCGAATTTCTTTTTACTGAATTTATTGGTCTCGGATATAAGGAAACCAGTAATTAGTTGTAAGTGGAACTTGATAATCCATATCTAAAGTCAGAACTTATTGACCTATGTAAAACTTAAACACCATGAACCTTGTTTTTTTAAGGTGAAAAACATAAGACCTAGCTATATTGTACTTTGTTAATTTTTGGTTGAGTGGAATTGATGAGAGAGAAAATTGGTGGGACCTAAAGTTTGTGAGAGTAAAGTTGTAGTCCCTAATGATTAATGAACATTTATAGTATGGGGCAATCTATAAGGGATGGCCTAAAAAGGCAAATGGGCCAAACTTTAAGGGACGGAGGGAAAAGGCGTGATGAGGAATTCCGAATTTCCTGCAACAAAGTCTATACAATATATAACACTGTGCCCACCTGGTCATCTTGTGAATAAAAGGAAACTAGATTCACGCGTTTCGGTTGAGCAAAAAGTTAGAGAAAGGAAACAATTAACTTGGCATTTGGTTGAGCATTCCTCTTAATGACTTAATCTATGTCATTAATACAGTATTCATTTTCCATATAATCTGTAGTTGATCTCATGGATGAGCATCTATGTCACCACGTTTTGCTCTTTCTCACAAGTAACTAACTATGAAGTACTTAACAAAATAAAGTATGCAACTGTATAAGATTAGTTAGTCTTCAGGGATAAAAGCTACAGATGATATAGAAACTTACAGTTCGCGCAAACTTCTAATTCTTGCAAGTGATGAAGGAATTGTTCCGCTGAAGCGATTATTTTCCAAGCTCCTGAAAAAAAGGTAACATCATATAAGAGATATAAAAACACCTAACTCATAGCATACAGACACGAGAAATTCCAGTAATTTATTCACAGTATGTTAAGTTCTACTACCATTCTATCAATGGAACATGCTGTCACAATCACCAAAAGATAAACACATCTTTTATTATAATTCTATACATCCATAATCATCATCAGGAACACCAGATTTTGAGACATAGATTTGAAACATCCAGCACTTGAAGAAACAAACTCATAGATAAATAATGATTCCATGTTAAACGTGCGCACACACACACGCTCACAAAAAGAATAAAGGCTTACAATATTTTCAGATGATTCAATGTACCAAGACTGGAAGGTATAGGTCCAGACAAGCTGTTATTTCCAAGCATTCTGTCAACAGAATGAAACACTAGGATTAGTATCAACCTAAAAATGAGTAGCGAAGTATCTTTAAGATCAGGCACCTACAATGTGTTTAATGCAGTCAAATTTGCAACTTCAGGTGGCAAGGATCCTTGAAGGCCCATATGCATCAGGTTTCTGGTCACAAAAGAAAAGAGTAAGTGCCAATGAGAATTAGAAATCACTTAAGAAAAGTATGTTGATCTTGAACAAGAACTCACATAGATACTATGCGAATCCGTGTACCATTAGAGCATGTGATCCCAGTCCAGGAGTACCCAACTGGGAAACAAGGATCACCACTCCAATCTTCAGGAGGGTTCAGGAAACTGCTTTTAATTCTTTCCAACATAATCACTGAGGCAAGAAACAAAATAGTCAATAAGCAATTCTGAAGAATAACAAGCCTCAAGCACTTTTCTAAACTTTTAACCAATCTAAAAGAATGAAAATTTCCAACCAGGTCACAACCTACTCAGCTTTGTATACAAACAGCAACTACCTAAACCAAGTCATCCCAACTAATATTATCTAGACACAAAATAATAAATATTCATTTGGCATGCTAATCAATCGTTTTCCTTTGTCTAATGTTATCGTGAAATAAGCTCCTCCTAACTAAAACATTAGCTTGACATGTTTTAATGCCCTCGTGCTAGGCAAATTAATTGTGGTGTCTCCTGCTTAAGTTCTTTGCTCAAAGATTTAAAATAGAAAATCAGCTTTATCCCTTGCTTAAGTGTAAACAATCAGATTACCTAGTTACACAACATGGTTCTGAGGAGGAGGGGGTGATAAGCCTTTTATAATTCAATTATAACATGAGAAGAAATTAGACCACAACACTTGTAAATTTCAGGGATGTACCATCATGCACGAGAGTTCTATTCCCAAGAGATAAAACATCAAAAATCTCCCCGCCGTTGATCAGGGGACTAGCATCTGATCCATCGACTGGGGTAAATCTCAATCTTGTCAGACCGTCTAGGGGCCATTTGGTTGCAAACACAGCCACACCAGATGGAGTCACGCTCAGGTTACGAACATATGGCACATTATTGATGCTAATGTCAAATGCCCGCCTCGATGAGGCACGGTCATCAGCAAAATATAAAGCAATGTAATATGTTGAGCTTGGAAGAGGTAAAGCAGGCCACTGAAGATCCATTGGTCCTGCAGAAACTGTTAAGTGGGTCTCAAAGATTTTAGCAGGTGGAAGATTCCAAAATCCAGAAACAGACACATTTGGAGCACGAGCAGCAGCTTGGTGAGGTCCAAAAGGCTCCCAGAAGCGATCAAATCGATCGTCTGGTGACCTGAAATTCCAAAATTATAAAAATTATAAGTTGTAACAGAAGTATAAGCTGAGTTACATTTGATTACAAGACTCCATATATTACAGGTGTTGCACAACAGAAGTAAAACTCGTCTCTCTAGGATTCTCTTAGTGGTATATCACTAGCCCCAACTCCTAAAGTGCTATGTTGAGTTAAAGACGAATCAACTAAACTCAATTAAGAGGCTAAGTAGCCATGATAACACTAGTCATTTACCAAAACAGAAAACATCTGAGAGACAATCACCAAAAACAAAGGCATATAGCCACTTAATTAAAAATAAGTCAACAGCTTAAATGTTAAGATAACATGAAATTACTAGCTGTATATCTGGTTCACTGCCAACCAACATTCATAGTTTTTACTTTCAGCCATAGAAAACTTCTGAACTCCACCAGATTACAAGATTATACAGTTAGCGGTTAGCCTATACCTAATGTGTTCTTCAGATCACGAATACACTCAACATTAGACACTTTCCCGTTAATGTTTCAAATACTTTGTATTAAATTGTAGTCTATAAATGAATAATCAACCAAAAAAATGCACTGTAAGCTGCCAAGGAAATTCACCATTTAAATGTTGACTTTCAAGGTTATGAATTGTAAAATATTTCAATTAGCCTTTATCAAAATTTGTTCTTAAATTATTTATAATTATCTCATTATTAGGTGAATAAAAACCATCCCATACCAGGTCAAAGCCAACTTTTCAACCACGCCTTCTTTTTGTCAATTGATCCCAAAAAAGTATCAAGCAACCATTACACAAATAAAGCATAAACTCAACCATTACATCAATAAATATTAACAAACTAGCTCAAACAAATAAAACAATTCGAATTACACAAAAAATCAGTAAGTACTTACCGAACAATCGATTTAGTATATCCAAAGTTATTCCTAGCAACCAAGCTCAACCCAACCTTCCCGAAATCGGTCGAATTATAAACCGAACTCTCCAACAACACCAGCTCGATAGCAGATATAAAAGGGTCAGAATCAGTAAGCTCGTTAACCCCAATACAAACACTCATTGTCTTCCCGACAGTTTGAAAAACCCCTTCATAATAAGATGTCATACTATGATCATATTCTTTTGTTGTATTGACCAAACCCCACAAATTATTATCAACAATCTGATCAAAAACAGGAGGGTTTTTCTTCCCATTTACCCCACCATAGAAATAACTAGTTCTAACCATGTAATTGGCATTACGAATTACAGGACCAATTTGGTAACAAAATTTCTTGTGGGTATTTCTCTCTCGCGCAAATGATCGAACAGTTGATAGGAGTGGCAAAACCCCGGAATACAACACCGTTTTGTTCTCCCCAACAGAGATGAAATCCGAATCCGGCACCCATAAATGTCCATTGTAGTTAATCACCGACGAACCACCGCAATTTATATAAAAACCTACAAAATCAATAAAATTAACATACTATCAGAATAACAGCATACAATTATTACAACAATTGTAATGAAAGTAATTGCAAAGAGACTAAGATGCGTACTGTAAGGAGCGAGGGAGAGGGAGGAAGGGAGGAAGAGGAGGAGAAGGAGGAGAGAGAAAGACATGGCGGCGATTAAGAGAGAAACTGGAGGTCAAGACATGAGAATGAGAAGGGGTTTTGGTTTTGGTTTTGGTTTTGGTGATGGGAATAAAAAAAGGGGAGGAGAGAGAAAGAGTCATTGGAGAGGTTGAAGGAAGAAAGGAATAAGAGAAAGTGAAAGTTGGTTGAGAGAGAAAGGAATTGATGATTGAGGAGAGAGAAAGTGAATTGAATTGACTGAGTTAACGCGGGAAAAAGATAAATAACCAGCCAACCAGGTCAGAGTTTGGATTAGACGGCAGTTATAAATCGGGGAAATGGAATAGGTCAATTGGGGAAATTGATCAAGGAAGTTGGGGATTCTGGAAAATCATCGAATGAGAAGAGAGGGAAGAGGGTATTGACGTAAAATAGTATTTTTGAGGTAAGAAACGTAATTTTGTTTCCCTACTTTTTTACCCTCGGGAATAATGTGGTTTTTGTTACTTTACTCATTAACCAAATGTCTAAATGGATTCTAACGAAAATGGTAATCTGATTTCGTTTTCACCCCTACAAAAAAACTCATACCAAACACCCATTAATGTAATACTCTAGGGTGGGACTTTTCAAACCGAACCGTGAAACCGTCCGTTACCGAACCGAACCATCACGGACCGAACCGTTTATAACCCGCTAATTTTAAACCGAAAACCGAACTGAACCGTATAATGTCAAACCGAAACCGAACCGAACCAATTAATGTTAACCCGTTACGAACCATAAACCAATAACAAACCAAACTGTTTATAAATCGAAACCGTTTGAACCGATTAATGTTAACCCGCTAACTGTTTAAACCGAACCGTTTATAAACCGAAACCGTTTAAACCGTAGGAAAAAACCGTTTAAATCGAACCATTTACAACCCGCTAACCGTTTAAACCGAACTGTTATAACCCATTAAACCGTTTAAACCGAACTATTTTCAAACCGCAACCCGTTTAAACCGATCCGATTACAAACTATTTAAACCGAACCGTTTACAACCCGTTCCATTCAAATTGAACTATTTACAGCCTTTAACAATTTGTTAGAATTCCACGAAATATATTTGATGTTTAATGTAATTTAACAGTACAATTTTTTTTACATATAATTATTGATTTAAATTTGTAATTTTTTTTGCTATTATAAAATTAAAATTATATTCTTGTATAACTAAATTAGGAGTTATAAATTAAATAAAAAAATGAAAAAATTTGGCCACCCACCCAATCCAACCACCCTCCACCCACCCACCACCGTAACCCACCCTAACACCACCCCCGCCGTCACCCCAGACCCACCCTAACACTACCCCCCACCCACCACCGTTACCGTAACCCACCCCCACCCCACCAACGTCAACCCAGACCCACCCTAACACCACCCCCGCACCCACCATAATTACCGTAACCCACCCCACCCCACCCCACCACACCACCCACCGTAAATAAAAAAACCCAGACCCAAACCTTACCCCACCCCATCCACCACCGTCACCGTAAATAATAAAAACCCAGACCCATACCCCACCCCACCTACCACCATCACCATAACGTACCCCACCCCACCCCTTAACAAACCCCACCCCACCCCACCCACCACCGTCACTGTAAAAAAAAAAAAAAAAAAAAAAAAACAGACCCAACCCCAACCCCAACCACACCCACCACCGTCACCGTAACACACCCCACCCCACCCCATACAAAAAAAATCGAAAAAAAACCCAAACCCACCGTAACCCCACCCCACCCACCCCCACGAAACCCAACATCCTCGAAACCCCCCAACTCACTCTAATTGCTCACCCACCATAAAACTCCCTCCCTCCCTCGAAAAATCCTCCCTCCCCACCCACCCGAACCCAGTCTAACCGCCGCCACACCCACCCTAACTCGGCCCCCTCCGTTGCCCACAACTTGAAAAAAAAATTAAAAAGAAAAACAGAAAATAAAAAAAGGAAGAACGAAAACACCTTATATATTAATCCTGAATTTGGCCTCAAATTTGGTTTTAAAAGGCCAAATTTGATCATGAAACAACTAGATCTAGAGTTTCGTGGTCGAATTTGACCATAAAAACCGTCGTGCGTGGTGTCGGTGGACGGAGACGGAGAAACGAGATGGAAGAAAGGAGAACATAGACGGAAGAAGGGAGAAGAAGGAAGAAGAAGAAAGGAAGAAGGAAGAGGAGATGAGAGAGAAAACGAGAGAGCAGTGAGCATATTATTGATAATATTACAGAAGAGGATTAAGAAAACGAGAGAGAAATCAAAAAGAGTACTAAAGAGACGATGGTAAGAGTGATCTGATTGGTGGAAAAGAAAACACACGGATCGTGAATTGGAATGTGTGCGATGATAGGCCGTTAGATGACATGCAAATCAATGGCTGATATTTAATATAAGACGGTGACACGGATCATGGGATAATGGCTTTGGATAGTATGGTTTTTTTTATTCATAGCTACGTACTAATAAAAACACTACTGTACTCTTAACTTTATGTAACTTATAAATTGTAAGAAACACAAATGTTTGGAAATTGGAATTGATTCAATATGACATATTTAATGTATATTAGTTATATGTATATCAGTATATGTAATAAATAATAATGTATGGTACGATTGGTATCATACTATCATTGGTATATATAGATAATCGATAAATGTATCTGATTATTAAAACTTAAAACAGTTGATGATCGATCTAATTGAATACTTCTACTTCCCCACCCGTTTTCTTTAACTTGCAAGTTGCAACTGATTAGGGGATTTTGCTCCCACCAATCGGAATGCGCCACGTGGGCCAATCAGGTCCTGCCAAGTGTCCCCCAGTTGGAACTATCAGGGCTTGCCACGTGGCACGCGCTCATTCGTCCACCTTGGACCTGTTATGTCATGACACGTGGCATACTCCATGCCTAATGGAGAAACCGGCCACCCAGGCCCAACTTCCGAGGGAAGCCCAATCAGCCCTAGGTTAACCTAAACCTAGGATTGACACGTTTCCCAAGGTTATAAATACCTCCCTTAATCCTCATTAAGGGGGATTACGGAAAAAAACACAGAGATTACACACAGAGTTACAGGCTGATTACGCTAAAAACTCACATTAAACACTCTCACCTAGAGAGACCCAACCACTTTAACTTCCACATTAATTACTCCTTAATCAAGTACTAACTTGACCGTTGGAGGCGGAGCTCCCACCACCAGGAGTCTCCGTTGTTTTGTAGGTACAGGCGTCCGGTTCCAGTCTCGGAATTGTAACTCTCCCGCAGGACATCAGAAAACCCCGAAACATCAGGCGCCGTCTGTGGGGAGAGTACTTCTGAGATGTCATCCAAGTCTGTACCGACTCCTGAAGAGAGGCGTCCCCTAGACGACCCTCAAGTTCAGTCGAACCACGATACTGAGAGTGAATTTGAAGTTGAAGCTCACACAGCTTCAGACGGGACCCTAAGGGCCCGACGTACCCGTCATACCGAAAGGAGGGAACGGGAACATCTTCATACAGGAAGCGAGCCAGCAGGCGCACCGCCTGTTCGGCAACAGCCGACTGATGGGTCTGCTCCCATCACAAGGAACGAACTCATGACCTTCATGAGGGACTTCAAGGGAGAGATTCAAGACTTCAAGGGAGAGATTCAAGAGTTGATCAACAAGAAGCCGCCTGCTCTGGTCAAGGAGCAGTCGGCTAAGAAACCCCCACTTCACTGAAGAGGAAGCCAGTTCAAGGGCGAGAGGCGACTCCTCATCCTAAATCTAGGAAGCGGGAGCCACCTGCCCTTGATTTCACAAAATTCCGTTTTCCTACAGGAAATAGGAAACCTGTTCGTCATATTCAGGCGGACGGGTCGAAGCAAACATTCACAGACGCTCGGCTACTGCTAGAGCAGAAGAAGAGTGACCGATTGTCAGAGTCGGCCTCTACTTCAAACTTTCAAGACAGTCTGCGAAATACCTCAATGAGGCATACGCAGTCGTATCATGAGAGTCAGTCAGGCGGTACCTCCCGTCAGTCCGGCTTTCATAGCGCCCAGGCGGTACCAAACTTACCGTTTGTGCCGCAACAACAGTATTTTTTGCAGCCACCTCCGTTTGGTGGACATGCAGCAAAAAACGTCCAACCTATGGACTGGCAGCTACGGTTGCTTAGACTTGGTGAACAGCCGTCGGCCTTCTCCAGGGAAATTACTGAAGCCGCTCAGCCGGCCAAAGTGAAAAATGTATTAGTAGGCGCCTATGACGGCACTACTAACCCAGAAGACCATCTGATGGCATTCACCAACCTGATGTACCTTCAAGGGTTGGATGATCCCACTTGGTGCAAGTGTTTCCCAGCGACTCTCAAAGGAATCGCACAACAATGGTTCGGCAACCTGCCGACTGGTTGTGTAAATAGCTTCAGGATGCTTGCTTACTTATTCACCTCCAACTTCGCCATGAACATCCCTGCGAAGAAAACGACCCTTGATTTAGGAACAATTCAGCAGGGCGAGAAGGAGGGGCTTCGTTCTTACATCAGGCGGTTTAACCTGATGAGAATACAGATTCAAGGGTTACCGGATGAGGTAGCCTATACTGACTTTTTCAGAGGTCTCAAAGACGGGTCTACCTTCAAATTTGATTTGGTTCGAAAGAGGGTGGCGACTCTTCAAGAGGCCTTGATTGAAGCAGAAGCCTATATACAGGCGACTGATCTTTGTAGTACGATAAAACAGTCGGACGGGAAAAGGTCCGACAAAAGAGAAGGACGACAGAAGCAGTCGTCCAACAAAGACGAGAAAAGGAAAGAGGTCTGGGCGGCTGATTCCTCTAAACAGCCGGCCCAGAAAAAGAAAAAAGAATTCAAACCATACTCCCCAAAGTATGCGTTTAACAAGTATAACCAGTTTATCCTAAAAGAAATCAAGGGACGGATCTGCAAACAACCGGAACCAAGATAAATTATGTGCTTATCATGATGATGTTGGTCATCACACCAATGACTGCATCAGTCTCATGCGGTATCTGGACCGCCTGGCTGAGCAAGGTGATCTTGACACTTATGTCAAGAAATCTACGAGCAACACTTCCTCAAAAAAGCAGTCGGCCAAAAAGAATCAACAGGCCGACAGCTCCGATACAGATGATGCAGTCGTCTACACCATTGCAGGCAGCTTCTCAGGAGGCGGCCCCACTATTAGGGGCAACAAAGACAATATCAGGCGGTTAGATGTAAATTCCGTTCACCAAGAACGACCGTCCAAATATTCATTTCCTGAGATTGTCATCACTGAAGAAGATCTAGGAGGGGTAAGAGGGCCGCATGATGACCCTATCG